TCCATAGTTATGAGCCCAGCAGTCTTCTCTTTCCATTTTAGAATGTATGAGCAGTGACTCACCTCACATTCTTAACGGCGCCAGATGATAACTAAGGAAGTACCACCGTGATGACATAAAGAATCATGTGTAACAGTCAGTCAGTCTCATAAAGCAGCTGGGCAAGGTTTTAGCTAAGTCACATCGCCCTTATATAGGAAGCTTCCTCTCTCAAAACAAAAGAATGTCCAAAGGAAAGCCCAGGGGACACATAGTCATTCTCTATAGCTTAATGGAACTGCAAAATGATCCTTCAAAAACGCGTAGGAATTAGAAGCCTGTGTCAGAGCTCTGAGCACAGCTTCATGCCTCAGAATTCAGCTGGTTTTAAGTACTTGGAAAGGACCCAGCTAAGAGCGAAAAAAAGTGAATCACGGGTTAGAAAACAAGCCCTTATGAGGGAAAGAATGAAAATACTGAAAATTGACCCTTACACGCATGGTGCTTAAAGTTTAGCCTCAATGACAGAGTGGTGGGCTTCGAGCCACATGGCTTAACCATGTTGAACCGTGAAAGACCGGAGGTTCCAGGTGCTTCTCAGACCAGCACAAGAAGAAATTATCATTGTTGTTGGTGTTATTAATTATTATTATTTGCTGGGTTTTTTAAAGATTTCTTTAGTTTTAATTATTTCTATGTGTGAGTGGTTGTATACATATGAGGTCCAATAACCTAAGAGGTCAGAAGGACAGAAGTTTTGGGTCCTTCTGGAACTGGAATTGCAGGGTTCCATAAGGAGCCAGATGTGAGTACTGGACACTCAACTCAGGTTTGGGAGAGGAACATGTGTTCTTTTCTTTTTTGTTTTTTTTTTGTCAGATTAATTAGCAGTTTTATTTTTGGAGGAACCTCCATACTGATTTCTATAGTGACTGCACAAGTTTATACTCCCACCAACAATCTGTAAGTTTCCTTTTTCCCCACATCTCTGTCAGCATTTGTGTTCTTTTTTATTCAATTTTTTCTATAATTTTTTCTATTTTTTTAATGGCATGTGTTCTTAACAGCTGATCTGTCATCTCTGCAGTCCCTAGTAGCTGTTTCTTTCTTTCATATATTTAAAGTGATGGGTTCCATTATGGTGTTTTGATGCATAGTTAGTTCCTATTGATCCTCATCCTCCCCTTCCCTCCTCATCCTCCTGGTCACTTCCCAGTTGACTCACTTCTTTCTCAGGGCATGTGTACTCTATACCATCCTTTTAATTTTCCTCTTCCTTATTTTCCCCTCTGCATGGCCTCCTTTTTAATTTCATAATTATATATGAACATATATGGATAGCTACCATATATAATATTTATTTTTTCTATTATATCTATGTATAAGAGAGAAAATACTCAGTATTTGTTTTTATTAGCCTGGGATGCTTCACTTAATGTAATATTTTTATGTTTATTGCTATTTTATTTACAATAACTAAGAAGTGGAATCGATTTTGTCTCTCAGTAGTTAAACAGATGAAGAAAATGTGATGTAATGGGATCTGCTTCAGTTGGAAAGCTAAAGGAAATCATGACATTTGTAGGGAAATAGTCAGAGCTGTAAAATTTGTAGGGAAGTGTAACTTTTCCTGTATCCTGTATCTCTCTAATAGGTTCCGGGAAGGGAAGACAGACTCACATCCCTTACCAGTGGAAGCCTGGAACAGTGTTCAATGCTGAGTCGTAGGATGTTCGATGTTTGCTGACTGAAATAAGCGTTGATTGCATAAATTAGAGGGACTTAAAAATGCTGCTTCTCATTCATCCTTTTAGCTGAGGGGAACCATTTAGGAACAGCTATGGCAGGTGGAAGACACACCTGCTCCTGTTAGCAATTGCATAAGGGTTAAGTTTAAAAACAACACCTTTGAATTTAGAACCACATGCCCTAACTCTACAGACGACTTCAAATAACACAAAGTATACAAGGATATGAATGTGCTGGGACAGAGCTAGTACTCTATCGGGATCTCTGAAGCTGGCTCTCAGGTCTACAAATCAGTGTTTTGGAAATAATCCTATGTGGAGCGTAAAACCCCTTTCCAGTAGTTTGGAGTGCTGTTTGTACTCCTAAAAACCTGAGTTTGACTAATGACAGCTGACGGTGGAGGAGAGGAGGGAGGGAAACCCGCAGCCAGGATGTACTCAATGATAAATCAGAAGATTCATTTCTTGAAATTTATTCCCTATTTCCTAATCCAGCTCTGACTGTGGTGGCTTTAGGATCAATAATACATAGAAACTCAAAATTTATGAACACCTTTGTATTGTTAGATTATTAATAAAGGCTCACTAAGGGAAAAAAAAAACTCCTTCTGGTCAAGAGAACAGAATCTCTGGTGACGTAACATCCCAGTTGGGTCAAGTGAGTAACCTCTGCAAGGTCCAGCTCCTAGGAAGGCAGGCTCCTCTCAAGCCAATCTAAGGAGAGAGGTGGAGCACGCTCTCCTTTAATGTGGTACTGTATCTTTTCTATGCTGGATTCTTCCCATTGCAGTGTCCTACAGAGTGCATTCATGCAGCTTTCTGTGCCCGCCACCTTCCTGAAATACACAGAAGACTGTAGTGTTTCCCTTCTCTTCTATCTGTTCCCTAAGCACACCTTACAGCTGCCTGACTCCTTGCCATGCAGTGGCTTGTCTTCCATGGGTCTGACCAACATGCTTTTCTTTTCTCTCTTTCCCCTTCTGTTTCTCTGGGGAGAGTTACGGCTTGACTGCTCTGAGAGTTTTTCATTTAAACTCTGATAAAATTAATTTCAAGATTCCACTTGAATTCATTTTTAAATTCTTTTAGCAGTAAGACTAAAACCCCTAACAGGGGGAAAAGCTTCCTCTGGAAAGATAACTCAGACAACTAAAAGCACGCCACCCAGAATCTTTTAAAGCACAGAGACTCACCCTTCGTTAGCTCAAGAAATACTGAAGAAATGAACAGGAGTTTCAAATCAAGAAAAACACACCAAGTTGTCAAGACACACTTTAGTCAATATAGTTTTACATGTACAATAATATAGATATAGATAGGTAGATATAAGTATAGATATCTTGAGGACCCTTGTCTGAGCAAACTTTGGGTGTCAGACAGGAAACCAGGCTAAGGATATTGAATGTACTCTAATAGGTTTCTGATCCCCACATTTGTGAGGCTTCTACCCTCATGAATGTCAAGTAGAATATGCCAGAACAATAAAAACAAGTTTAGGCACAGAAAGCATTTTCATTTTCCATATAAAACAGCATCTGCCTTTTCCCATGCTGAGTCTGCAGGGCAGCTTATTTACAAATATATAAATAGCTGCAACTTTACTCCAGGCCCATTGAAAAATCAAAACGGTATCATGCAAGAGAAGCACCCTAGCATAGTTGGCTCCATGAGGAAAATGTAAGTGGAGATGAGCCAAGCGACTTGACACTCACTGGTCAGCTTAACCAGACACCCTCCAGTTTCCTGTCATGGAGGAACCCACGGTTATGCTCTGCAGAGTCAGATAATTCACCTTCATTGATTGTCCAGAGACTGGAGAGTGATTTCGAGCCAAAGGTTGAAAAGCAAACTTCAATTCATTGGTAATCCCGTGGGCTCAAAGGGAGATCACCTCATAGTGGCAGTACTTTTAAAATCAGCTTATTCTGCTTTCGTGAAAGTTCGGTGAATTTAGAATGACTCACTCTAGTCAATTCTTTTCCCATATTGCCAGACTTACAGGGATTTAAATCAACAGGAGAAAAGAAGTAAGAAAACTAATGCATCTTAATGTTTGAACAGAATGTATTGCCTTTCCTAAATTTATTAAGTAACATTATCTACCAAGAATTAATCCCTCTCCCTCCCTTCCTCCCTCCCTACACACACACACACACACACACACACACACACACACACACTAGCATGTATCTTGCTTGTCCTTACAGCATATGCATAACCAAGCATGGAAGTGTGGGGCTGTCCTCAGTGTCTCCTCATGAGGTCACCTGAACAGCTATACCTTATGGCACCTAATGACAATCACTCCTTATATATACCTGCAATATCAAATCACGCTCTTCCTTAACATCTTTGTTTCTCATCAATGAATGAACAGAAGAATGCCATTAAATTAAAATCTTCCAAAGCATCACAAAACAGGAAGTTTAAAAGGAACATTTTACCAGGAAGTGGTGGCGCACACCTTTAATCCCAGCACTCAGGAGGCAGAGGCAGGCAGATCTCTGTGAGTTCAAGGCCAGCCTGATCTACAAGAACTAGTTCTAGGATAGGCTCCAAAACTGCAGTGAAACCCTGTCTCGAAAAGCTAAAAAGAAAAGAAAAGAAACATTTCCAGAGGGGAAAAACGAGTTACAAACTTAGTCTGTGTCTAGAATCTGAGGACAGACAACAAGATACATAGACGCGTGTCGAAAGTAAGAACACTCATGCATGCTGTATGCACTTTCTCAAAAAGACATCTGGGCTGAATATTAAACCCAGGATGGCTGCGCTGCTTATTCACAACACTGCATTGATACACAAGGATGTTCAAGTTTGAGCCAACATATAAATGCCAAAAAACCAAACTGCAAACCAATTTCTCATCACTTCCAGCGCTATTCAGTATTTAGAAGAAGGGCCCACAAATAAACTGTTGTTTTAATTCCCCACAAAACATAGTATATAGGAATAAATGCAGTAGCCATCTTTTGTCTCTAGATCTATATTGAGCCTTATGTTGCAAAGTTCACTTTTTAAATTACTTTTAAATTTATGTCTACTTTAAATGCTAACAAGATTACTCCAAAAGGATATGTAATTTTCTGAAGACTTTCTGCCTGTATACAAAAGATTGGATTGCAGAATTTTATAAATAAATACATAAGTCGTATATTCATTACAGCATTGAGGGGCACAACTGAGCTTTTATATTTTTGAGCAGGAATTTGGAATATCCTTAGAAAATATTTTTTTACTATTGTTGAAATGAAAACGAATTAGTTTACTCACCCAGTGTCTCTGAGAAGAAGGGCACTTCCCAACTTGAAACAGGTTTTATCACCTTCGCAAAATGCACGCCTCAGAGCAAAACTCTCTCCCAGATCAAAGCCTGTAAACGGGCACACGCTATTAAACCCAGCAATAAACTCGCAGACAGATTGATTTTCTTTAAAACAGGAACTTGTTATCACATCTACAGGTTGATTGATTTAAAATAAAATCCTTCTGTTTGAAATCAACAAATATGCTCGATTTCTTTTTTGTTTATTTTCCTTTTAGGGTACAGGAGAATAAAATCCTCTTTGCCTAAAGAGGCATGGCTATCTTTCTGAAGAACAGTTCATAAGTAGAGGTCTCTCTGGCTTCAACCAGCCTGATTGCACAACCCTCCCACCTCGGCCTGCCCAGTGCAAGAGCATACTGGATGCTGGGAGTGCAGGCATACACCTCCACTGTTGCTTCTCACAGGTGTTTCAAAGGAATACAATATCGCTTCACTTTAATTTAGGAGCTGACCTAAACAAATTGTGATGGTAGTTCATTGTACCCTCTCTAAAGTATAAAGAGAGCATTAGCCAGAATAAAAATCATAGCCATTCTTTTCGAATCTAAACAGCCTCTTACAAAAGTATGCTTTAGGGGAATTATACAGATGTTCCTAATTCAAGTGTGAGCTATGTGTTATTATCATGTACATGTGAGAGAGTTGAGGACACACAGAAAGAGAATATGGAAAGGAAAGGCAGGAAGGAAATCAAAAATAGGAATGTTGACTGTGTTGGTAGAATATGCCTATGATACATTTTTGAGACTGAAGTAGAGGAAACTTGAGTTTGAAGCCAGCCTAGGCTACACAAGGAGATCCTGTATAAAACAAAGAAAAAAAGAAAAAGCAACAATAACAACAGAACCAGCAAAGGCAACATTAATAGCAAAAGAAAGTGTAAAGAAAAAAACATAAAAATGTTACACCAACATAGTGTGTAGATTATGACTACATCTGGTTGCTATAACATCGTCTCGATATTCTTTCCTCTTTTAAAAATTACAACAGAAGTCACAACTTTTGTGATTTTGCCATAACGTTGGTTCTCCACCAAGGTGAGATGTTGTTACCTGAGATTAAAAATTTAGAACTCTGCTGATAGGATTTAACCTGCAGCATTTACTCCATTTCTCGGTGAATGTTGTGATCTTAATGTCTTATATTGGGAAAGAAGCAGGCTGGCCCACCTAGGCAAGGCTTCGGTCAGGAGGATAAAATCTCTGGCTTGGTGGAGACCTAACACGCCATCTGGGCAGAGTCAGTGAGCTGGCTGCGGAGCCACCCCTAGAACGGGGATGGAGTGAGGTGGAGGGGGATGGCCTTAAGTATTTTAGTCTCTCTGAACTCCCACTCCCCAGAGCAGTCTCGTATTGCTGCACCCACACAGTGTGTGGTCACTATGGATGGACACTTTGCACAAAGTGCTGCTCAACAAAGGATGCTCACCTGAAACCTGAAGTTTGCTTCTGTCATCTTGATATCCCTCCATCCTCAGTATCGGGCAGGTACTTTCTATTTAAAAGACAAGCATGGATTATTTGAACTAAAATTTCCATCCTACATTTTCTAAATAAAGTTCAATGCTACTGTATAATCAAAAACAAAATAACAATGAAAATAAAAATAAACTGAACTACCTTATTAAATTTCTATAAGGTGGGGATGAAAATCCCCATCCCATAGTATGTCTATGAAAATTTAATGGTATATCTATAAAAAAATAGAATATTGCCTGGCCCGTGGTGAGAACAGAGTGATGCTGGCTATTATTATCACTATTACCCAAACATCCTCCATGTTTCTGTGGAGATATATATATATATATATATATATATATATATATATATATATCCACAGGATTTACTTAACTTTCATGGCTTCATTGGACAATTAAATTCAATGCATATTCTCTCAAATAAACAAGTGAATTATTGCTATATTTTATCATAATCTTATTCATATTTTATTTGATGATCCTAAGCCTTTATAACAGAAGGGGACATGAATGGAACAAGTTAAATAAAATTAGAAAGCAAAGAAAGTTCTATATGATAAAGCTGAGGATGTTAATACTTTATAAGCTTGTTCATAATACTCATGGATATATATAAAGTTAATCTCTACTCGGCGAGTTTACATGTCCAATAAAACCACGTAATAATGTATATGCATATATTAGTCTTTGAAGTAATATGCTTAACTCTAACTCAGACTATAACCACAAATGAGGTAATGCTGCCAAAACTGCAAGCCATTTTTCAAGTCATGCCACTACACAACAATACAGCTACACTCTTAAACTAAGTGCATCAAACCTTTTACATTGTATCATCACAGGTTCAATTCTCCACATCAAAAATTTGTGTTTGAGTTTCATGTCTTAAAGGTCATAGTATGGAAAGGAAATAAACCATTGATGGCAAACTGACCATCTACTGGGCTGAAAGTGACAGCCTCTGATTTTCCAGTTAACGTCTGACTGCCTCAGCCCTTCATTTGATAAGAGCACTTCATAGCTAGAGCTGTGGCCAGGATCAGTGTTGCATATTTTACTAGAAGAGCCTCAAAGTCTAAGTGATGCTATCACATCATTGGCAAGTAAGAAGCAAATAACATATTCTTTCTGAATGACAATTAGAATCGCAATTTCGATAGATTGGTGTGTGTGTGTGTGTGTGTGTGTGTGTGTGTGTGTATGAGTCTTTGAAAACTGACAAGTTTATTGTCTGGTTTAAATGGAAAAGCAAAGATAGCGAAAGGCAAAGTTGAACAATAACTTAGAGACAAACCATGAGATATAAGGAATCATATCAAAATGGAATATGCAAATTATCAACTCACATATTCCATGGCTTCGGTGTACATATAGAAAGACATCAATCAAACAGAATAGAAGATCTAAATGCAAACCCTTCACATGTAGCTCCACTTACAGCAGAAACTATTGCCATTCAGTTGGAAATGGAGAGTCTTTTAATCAATGGGACCTGGTATTATATATTGATACAGGAAAACACTGACTCTTGATATTTCTTGTTTTTTATACTACATGAGGAAATTGGAGAAAATTATAAATGTTAAACGAAAACATAAAGCAGATTTAGTGAAGCATAGAGCTTGGTGAACCTGGAGAAGCAAAGAGCTCTGGAGAGAGACAAAGCATTGCTGTCAAAAGAAACTATTGATAAATGGGGTTTTGTCAGCTGAAAGCATGTATTAATCAAAATATCAGAAGTGTGAAAGACAAGCCAGAGAATAGGAGAAGGTATTTCCAATAGAAGCATCTTAAAGAAAGAAGGCAAACCACACATAAGGAGAAAATATCCAATGAATCCAGGACAAGCCCTGAGCTCCCACAAATGAGCAAAACATAAAAAAGTTTATTTCCAATACACTCTAAACTTTTTAAGCACTTTACAAAATGGAATATGCAAATTACCAACTCACATATTCCAAGGGGTGTCACCCCATCAGTAGAGGAAACCACTGAGAGTCCATTAAATGACCAAAATTAAAGAACTGTCACTCCAAGTGTTGATGAGGCTGTGACAAACGGCGAACACTTTCAGCTCGTCTACATTGCTTGTAGGGGCCGAGAGCGGTGCAGCCACTTGGGAAAACGCTCTGACAGTGTTTACTGAAGCTAGCGATGCATGAACTCCAAGAGAAACTCAGTGACCCAAGAGACAAGAGAGCAAAACAGAAATGGAAATGACCTTTTAGATAAGAATGCCTATGTTATCATTACTCGTAGAGTTACAACCTAAAAGTTCATCAAGAGGACACACTGCAAAATAAACAATGAGAAAACTGAACAACAGTTTAAAAAGAAAGATTTGGCTTGATACATTGAAATGTTTGGATATTAGAGGCAAAGTAAGTGGTGGAGTGTCATTCCCCTTAATATATACTACCTATTCCATTTATGTGATAATTACACAGCCAATCTCTGCGGAGAAGTGATTACCATAGGGGGATCTGTATACAGAGCAAGTATACAGAAATTTTTTAGAATCCAGGAAACATTTTATGAATTTATTTGAGTCATAGTTACATTAGTGTACATATAAACATAAAAATTCAGTATATTGTGCTTTTAACATTTACTGACTTTAGACTATATAAGCAAAATCTCAACACAAGGAGGAAAGTAGTAGCTCTCTTGAGAAAATATTTTAATTTAAAAGTAGCTCTAAAATTTAAGTGATTAAAATATCCCAATAAAAATGTCTATTGGCTATTAATGTCTATATGGCAATATGCCATAAGAGGAACCTTGCGTCCTTCATAGGCACATAGAGGAAAGATGTAGTGTGTGATTGACAGAAGGAATCTTTGGGCAGCAGAAGGGCTTCCCCGCTGGGAGACTTGGGAAGGGAGGAGGAGGTATGTGGCCTGTTTCCAGTAGGAAACTGTAAATCTCATTTCAATTCTTCCTAGGGAATATATGTTGATGTCAACAGAATAAACACATTGCTTTGGAATAAATGAGATTCAACATTCCCAGCAATATGTATGTATTTCCCCACTAAAAGTATTTCATTTATAAAACATTAATGCTGTTTCCTACCTTTAAAACACATGCTTTGTTGTGAACAGCTGAACAAAACAAATTAAAACTAAGTGTTTTAAGATTTCAGGGGTAATAAGATAAATTCATGAAGATATATGAATTTATTGCATAAAAATGAGGAAAGAAGTAGTGGCATTTCCTATCATAAGCTAGCAATGCTAATCAATTTAAATAGTGACATATACATTATAATACAAAACAGTAGAAGTAACACTATCACAAGTTGGGCATGTTAATTTATTCAACTATAAACATATAAACATACAGGTATATTTTAATATTAATATATCTTTAGACTTATGCCGAAGATTCAAATGTTTTCTTAGGCAGACAGGGCCAAGCACAGCAACTCTGTCCCTCAGAGGCTCTCAGGAGTATTTCAGAGTAATGAATATCATCTTTCTATGGATGATACATTGCTTGCCGAACTCGACAGCTTTTCAAAAGCGAATAAAAGTAGCTTTAACCAATGCATGCTAAAGTGTTAATGTTAATGATTGTCAGGCTTCATTTCTTCTTTTACATGACTTGAAAGACCTGGGCAGTCTCCAGGATAAATGGGGTACTGAAAGGAGCCACAGGAAACAAAAGGGAAGTCATCTAGCTCAGCTTAGCATATACCATGACTTGATTGAATAACATCTTTCAACACTCTTGTTTCCTGGTCATCTGAAAGAATCATCCTGGAAAAATAGGTCATGCAGCTACTCAATGAGAGAGTAGAGAAAAACACATTTCCTGCAAACCAACTTTCTCTCGTTCTGTATTGAACATCTCTCAAAAGCATATTTTAAACAAAATAATGACAACCTAAGAAACTCTTTCCATTCTTTTTTACATATATATGATTTTTTTCAAGACAGGACTTCTCTGTAGCTTTGGAGCTTGTCTTAGAATTTGCTCTGTACATCCACCTGTCTCTGCCTCCAGAGTGCTGGGATTAAAGGTGTGTGCCACCACCACCCAGCTTGGGCTGGAGAAATGGCTTAGCCATTAAAGGCTAGGCTCACAACCAAAAATGTAAGACTCTTTTCATTCTTTAATGAAATGTATTTGTTCCCATCATCTGTTTTAGCTATGTACTTAAGAAATGAATCCTGTTTCACAATACACTAATAGATCTAATCTATTAGTTCTGGTCCTCATTTTACCAGTAGGCATGACCTACTAGATCTTGGGACTGGTTTACTTTTCTTCTTAAAGACATTTTAAAATATATGTGTGTATTTGAGTGGTTTGACTGTGTGTATGTATCTGTACCACATGAATGCAGTACTCTCAGGAGCCAGAAGAGGGCACTGAATGTCATGGTACTAAAGTCACAGGCTGCTCTTAGCCTGTCATGAAGGTACTGGGAATTGAACCCAGATCCTCTGACAGATCAGTGAGTGCTCTCTTAACCACTGACCCATCTCTCCAGCCTCATAAAAATGTGTCCTATGCTTGGTAAGGATATAATTTATATTTTATCTTTGCTAAAATGTATGGATCTGAGGCTGGAGAGATGGCTCATCAGTTAAAAGCACTTGTTCTTGCGGAGGACCAGGACTGGGTTCCTAACACCCACCTGGCAGCTTCCAACCATCTCAAATTCCAGTTCTAGGAGATCCAACACTATCTTCTGAAGTCTGCAGACACCAGACAGACACTCATATGATGCACATGCATGTATGCAAACGAGACACTAAACACATAGAATAAAATAGATGTATCCAAAAATTGAAACAAAGATAAGAATAAAGTGTACAACATCTCTGCACATTTGCATTTTAACAGTAGCCCCCCCACACCATGGGTTTTACATTACAAAATCTTAGGAACTCAAAATGAATTGAAATATGCAAATATAAAATGGAAAAATTCTAGAAATAATTTTTTAAATTTAAATTTAATTTCAGAATATTGGGGTTTTTAAATTTTATTTTAGTGCCAGCTATTG